AAAGCAACCACGACGCTGCCGTGTAGGTGATGGGTTCCTGGAGGGAGGGAGGGAGGGAGGGAGGGAGGGGGACAAGACGAAGGAGGCGACAGGGCATTCAAAGAGGGAGGATGAGAAGGGAAGGACGGCGGAGGGAGGAGGTAAAGAGGACGAGGGCGACCACAGAAAGGGAGGGAAGGAGGTGGAGGCAACGAACGAGACGTGCGTCAGAACAAAGGAAAAAGAAACCAGAGGCTACGACCAGGGACAGCTGTACGCGCAAGACAAAAGGAAGATTCGGGCATAGCATGGGTGGACGGGGTCGGGTGATGGGGAGGGAGGGTCCAAGAGACCCTAAAAACCCGTCGAGACGTTGGGAGATATAAGAGGCCATTTCTTAAGGAGACAGTGGGGGGTTAGCACTGGCCTTCGCCTTCCCACCCCTTTTCAGCCTACCTCCGAGACCACCTGACTCAGTGGGGTATGGGCGTTGACAGGCACCCGTTTGTCCAGGCGGAGGATTCTGTAGCCATGCTGGGAAGGGGGGGAGGGAAGCAAAACGGGCACATCAACATCAAGCATACCCACACACGGTAAATCGGTTTCAGCACGGGACCGTCCATGTCATTGAAGGAGATTCAGCGGGTGCAAGGGCTATGGGGCGCGGGGCGTGACTGAAAGCAGGGGGACAAATGCGTATATGTATACATATATGTGTGTGTACGCACAGGAGCCTACGTGAATGCAGCGCCGGGTATAAATGCCAGGTCAATCCACGGCAAAGACGCCAATTTCCCCACCACTCACCTTCTTGAGATCCGTCCCTGCCAGTAGAAGCAGGCCCTGAACGGGACAATCGTAGAGCTCGAAGCACTCAAACTTGGACATGACTGGAGACAGCGTGAGGAGGTGGTAGGAAGTCAGCACACGAGACATAAAAGACAATCGAGAGCACTTATCGGGTTCATTACTTCGTGCTATGACATTACATAGGGTTGAAAGACGCAGGTATAATAATCCACTTAAAGCTTACATGGTAACAGCATCTTACTGTTTCTTCCATGACCCTGTTGAACCCTCCCCTCAGAACTCCGCGAATCATTTGTGCCCCCCGCGTGGACGCTATGGCGCTCTTCGTCGACCCTTTGCTCTACTCGCTTTGACTCCATGACTTTTTGTCAAGACAGTAGACGCGGATGCGTCCAGGAAATCGTCGAATGGATTAGATGCACTGAAGGAAAGCTTCGCACGTTCCCAGAGCCCGAGACAATTATATGATCCCGTTTGCAGCTGTGATTCGCGAGGAAAATCAACCACCTGGACTGAAGGTGTTCAGAGTAGAAAGGATCTACGTCCGCACCCCTATTGGAAGAGTGGTGGATAATTTAGTGCGTGGTATACCGGCATGGAGGCATTCCTTTCCGACCGCTCCAGGCTCGAGGTGAACTAGGAGCGAGCTGCTGGCGATGGTACTGACGCCTCCTCCCACGCCAATTACCATTGAAGCAATTGAAAACCGCATCAACACCACCGTTAACCGGCCTATCTTTCCACCATGTTGCACAGGTGTGTGGTAAGCAGATAGCAGAGAAGGGTTCGGAGCACATTGGCGCCATATCATTCCCGCAGCACTATTGGCAGCCCCAGCAAGAACAGGGATGGGAACACTAAAATATCCCCGCTCGAACAACGTCGTCGGTCTGATATCTCACCATCTTGGCGTCTGACGGCCTTCTTGCTAGCCCGACTGGGGATGGACGATATACCCTCAGGAATGCATGGCTCCACGCCCACACATAACGCGTCCTCTGGCACGGCAGCGGCAGGCCCTGCCCCTGAGGTTACTGCCCCCTTTCCGCCCGTCCTCGTGACTGGCGTAGAGATGAAAGGCTTGCACACAAGCGCCAGTACCTACAAAAGGGGCCGGGAGCGGGAGGATTCTGGGACCTTTTCTCTTCCAAGGGGAGGACCAGAGGCATCATTGGGCAAGGGATGCGGGGAGGTGGAATCCATTATCAATGGACAGGCGATCAAACGTTTGCGCATTGCAGGATCCGTCGACCTGAGTGAGATCGTCGACCTGCACGACCCATTCGATGGAGGAGTGCAAGGGGCTGGGAGAGGAGAGGGGGGCAAGGAAGGAGGAGGAGGAGGAGGAGGAGGAGGGGAGGGAGGAGGTCTGTGTGACGCCTTTATCTATCACCGGCAATTACTGCGTCTTCACCAGCGCCAAGAGCACGAAAAAGGGCGGAAATCCACACCGGTATGATTGGTGCTTGGGACGGCCAGAAGGGTGGTGGCATCTTTATTCTTTTCGGCAGAATTTTTATTCTCACCAGTAGTCATGTCTTCTCCTTCCTTCCAGGCACAGCCACACGTTCCAGCTACCCCTTCCGAGCCTGAAACAGGAAACGATCTCGCTGAGTGGCACCTGCACAAGGCGTCACGTGGTCCGCTGGAACGAAGCACCAGCAGTGGGAGCAAGGAGGCGAGCCGCCCAGGCATTGGCGGTGATGGGAGTGACCGGTCGGGCAGGGTGGGCGCCCTCGCCCCAACAGAGAGCGGAGCCCGGGAGAGGGACGGTCTGCCGCGATCTCTGTCTGACCCGTGTCTTGCCTCACCGGGGGCTCCGGGAGGGGCGAGTCCTGGGAGCATGGAGAAAGGGAGGAAGGAAGGGAGGGGGTATCGGGCGAATCCTGCGGACCAGCAGGGATGGCGTCGCCCAGGAAGCTCTTCGCCCTCCTCCCCCCGATCCTCCGAAGGGAGGAAGGGGGGGAAGGAGGGCAGGAGGGACGGGGGTATTGGCGGGTCGGAGGACGGGCATGCCAGGGGCTGGGTGCGGGGGGAGGTGGCTTGGGAGGAAGCGGACGTGAACTACTCGTTGATCAACAACCTGTTGGGACGTTTGCATTTGGAGAAAGTTCGACGCTTTGTGCCTTATGGTCCTGCGGGCGGTCCTGGGAAGGAGAGGGGCATGGACGCTGGCTCGGGGTAGATGGAGGGGGAGGGGGAGGACGGGGAAATGGCAGAGGGGGATAACGACTTACATGGTATATTTTGGGTTGTGCCGCAAAAGCTTGTATGTACATAGGCGGTGTCTGGGGAGGGGCGAGAAAATGGTCGATTTGGAATGACGACCACTGCCAAGTTGACCTGAGCACGCGTGATGACACAGGAGGGCTTTGGGAACGACAGGCAGGAGGCCACGATACAAGTTGGCAGTCTATGTAAGACCTTTTTCTTTTGTGACCTGGGAGCTGTGCATAGATTGAACATTGGAATGTGAACATTGAATAATCAAACGGGCTGCTGGGAAGACGAAGAAAGCAGAGTGGGATGACAAGGACAGGCGACCTGCCGCTCCCAAAGAAGAAATGTACAGACGCCTCCTGACCCCGCGCTCATCCGCTGCTAGCAGTGAGAGCCCGAGCATGCCTACGAGAGATGCGTACTAAAAACGGTACCAAAGTACCCAAGTTCAATCCCTGATGGAACGGAAGATTATTATTCGCATGCAATGAAGGCGTCTTTCGCGCATCTTTATGGTCTGGACATTTTGAAAGGTGGTGACATGCCGGTCGACGGAGACATGTGTGCACTGTACTCGACAAATTTGAAGCCATTTGATTTCTTTGTATGGTAACCACTATCCTACATGCACATGGCTGCTCCTCCCGTTCTCTCTGCCCCGACTGTCATACCCAAGTCCACGCCACTCCATATCACGTCGCCCCCCCCATCCCCCCTTCAAGTGACTTCCCCATGTAGCCCTGATGTATACCCTCCGTTGGGTGAGACGCGAGACGCGTCACGCCGAACTGGGACCAAGACTCCCCACCACAAGCTCGGAGTCCAAAAAGGCGGTGATAGCAGATGCCAGCCTGTGCGTGAGTTGTCGTGTGGATGGTATGGAATGGACGTTATCGAAAATAAAGACACCCCCCATCCTCCTCCTCTACCCATCCTTCCAGCTTCCCCCCCCCCTACTCACGCGTCAAGCTCCCGTCGCGCCACCTTTGCCACGGTTCTAGCGGACGCGTCGCTCCCTCCCTCAGCACCCAATCTCTCCTCCCCCACCTCCTCCACCCATTTCCTTTCGTATGTGTCCCACACGCGGTCCTTTTCCTTGACTTCCTCCATCTTCTCCTCCGAATCCGCGTCCAGGACGCCCCGCGGCGTGTTAGGGGTCAAATGCGTCCCTACCAAGCGCACATGCTCAACCCGTCCTCCCCCCCGCCCTCCTTCCCTCCCTCGCTCTCGGAGGAGGGCAACTAGCTCTTCCGACTGGTCGATGGTGTCCTTGTCGAAAGAGACCACCAGGTTGTTGAGCACGGCGTAGGACGGAGAGGACGACGGGAGGGAGGAGGACGGGAACGGAGGGGGGGAGGAGAGGAGGGCCCACGTTTCTTCCGGCGACGGGGTGAAGTCGGGCACACCGGAGGTGGGGAGGGAGGAGAGAAAGTCCATAGCCATGGTCAGTCCTGGTGGGGAGCGGTGGGCGGGAGAGGCGAACGACAGGGAGGGAGGGTAGGGATAGGAACGGCAGGATGACTCGTGAGTGTTCACTCCGAAGGTACCTACTTTTCCTCGCGCAATGCGTGGGACT